GCTCACACAAGAGACCATGAAATGTGGCATATCCCAAGGTGATGCACTGTCCCTACGGCTGTTCTGCTTGATCCCGTCAGCCAGATAATCAAAGGACAGGATATGGATATAAGTTCATGAATGGAACTACCATAAGCTACTTCATCTATGTGAATGACATCAGGGTGTATGCAAAGAGCGAACAAAACATTGACTTGCTAATCCATCTGACCTGACTGGGTAAGAAGAGTTCTACAGTGAGGACACTGGCATGTCATTCAGACTGAGAAGGCTGATAATAGTGAAGAGAGGTAGAGTAATAAGACTGAAGGGGTGGAACTACCAGCAGATCATATAGCACAGGGGTCCCCAACCTGTGGGCCACAGCCCACTATCAGGCCGTGGCCTGCTGGCCATGGGACAGGCTGGCCAGTGCGCGCACACACATGCGTGCACTCCCCCCACTTGCGCTAGCATCGCTGCTATGCCAATGGGGTGCCGCACAGCGAAAATGCACTGGCGCTAGCACCCACACGGCAAAAACAGGGTGGTGCTAGCGAGTGTCACATGGGCGCTAGCACCGCCCCGTTTGTGTTGCACTTGCTTGCGGCCCTGTTTCTTTGTGCGTGCACGCGTGTGTGTAAAATGCTTCCCCCTCCCTTTCCCTCGGGTCCGCCAACCAAGAAAGGTTGGAGACCTCTGATATAGCAGAGATACAGACCAGTTGCAACTAGTTTGGTACTCCACTATCACAAGGGTGCCATGATGAAGAGGCAAAGACGACAACAACATCCAAGTACAACCAAAGCATCAGACAGGTTCTGAAGAGCCAGCACAATGGGAAGAACAAGACCCACACATACGTCCTGCCAGCCATCAGATGCCCTTCTGTTGCAGTGAACTGACCAAAGGAGGACGCAGGAATTGCGGATGTGAAATTCCAGAGGCTCCTCACAATGTAAGGAGATTTCAGAGCACCTGGAAGTTCATCAGCAAGACAGCACCCAAAGATGAGTTGCCGAGACACAGCAGCAGACACGGGAAGAAGACCGAGCAGAGGAACATTATGGCAAGGCAAGGCCAGACCCTGCGTGGGGTGTGTGCCATCAACAGACAGTTGAGGGGGCAGGCATTGGAAATGCTGGAAAGGGCTGGACTAAAAGACAGCACCTAAGCACCAAATCCAGGGCAGAGCAGGGCATACTAAATTGTAGCCTAACTACACAAGTACTGAGTTTATAAAATATTTCGGGCAGGTTAATTTGTTATTCCATGTACCATATGAACATAATAGCTATTGCTCCAATTTGCAGTATTTACACATTGTTCTTTGGTTATACGAAACTCACAACTGTTGACGCTGCATTACTCCAGTGAGATTATTTCTTCTCTTGTTTGAAATGGGAGCTAGCCTGGCCCTCTTTTATTTTATTAAAAGGTTTAGTGGAGAATACCGAAACCTCCCCTTTCCCAATGAAGCAGCTTTCCGCCTCTTCCCAGTCCTAAGACCAGATAGCATTTTCTGATCTCAGCTGCACTCCCCCTGGCCAGGGCAGCTGCTCTTTCAGGAAATTGAAAATAAAAAAGATCTGTGAGCACGTAGGTGCTGAAATAAATAGCATTTAAATTTTTGAAAAGTAATGTTGTCAAGGCCCTCCCTGTGTAATTCAGAGGTAAAGCTGACGTTGACAAGGGATTCCCACAACAGGAGCTGCAGAGACAGAGAGGCTGGTGAACTCAGCACAGAGGGATGGTGAGCTGATGTGGTTACAGGTATGCAGATCAGCACCCAGCTGATACAAGCAGCACCTGATCAACCAGGACATGAAAGCTGTCCACTGCTGTGATGGAAGCTCACACAACAGCTACACTGTATTTCAAGCAGTTTTTATACTCCAGTCGAGAACTTAGTGAATAGAAGTTGCTGTTCCCCACTGACTCACCTCGGACCCCCTTACGTGGGTTTCTTCAAGGAGGGGACCAACAAAGTTAAGATGGGGTCAAACGTGAAAAGGGGTACAACTCTGATCATACCACTGTGGCCTCCTTGCCCTTTTTGACCATCCCGCCTCCCTAAAACCTCCCCTTATTCTCTGGAGACCCCTCCCCTGGAGGAAAAGACTGACAGGATTGTCTTGACACCCATGACTTGCTAAGAAGGCCTCTGCGACCTGGGAGGGAGGCTAAAGCGATATCTTGCCTAAATGAAGTGAGAGCATTTAGGACATTTTGTGGATGATACGTTGTCTTCTATGAGAAATAGCAAGGAGGTTCGTTTCCAGGCACCATGAGAAAAAGGGCAGATGTAGGCTGGGGAGCTGCTTGCTGCAGGCCACTCACTTTGCTCTTTCTCCCAAGGCTTCTGACCATCCTCCCTTCCTTCCTTTGTAGCTTAATGCTATGGGCTGAAGAGAATGCTCCAATCTGCTGGAGCCATGGCTGTTTTCTCTCCTGTACTCTTATCTTAAGAAAAAATAAAGCCAATAGGAAGGGGTTTTTTTGGTTAATGGAAAGTATAGTGCAGTTAGATCAATGGTGGCGAACTTATGGCATGCGTGCCGGAGGCGGCACTCAGAGCCCTTTCTGTGGGCACGCGCACTGTTGCCCCAGCCTTGCCTCTCCCCGTGGCCCCCTTCTCACCAGCAGCCCCCCTGGAGGAGTCACCCCTGAGCGCACTCTGCAGGGAGCAGCACAGCCAAGGACATGGCAGCCAGGCAGCAGGAACAAGACTCAGCCCTCGTGCCCTGTCATGTGCAGATGATGCTGTGGGGCATGGGGGGAGGGCATGGCTTCCACGGTGCTGCTGGGCTGCCTACTGCGGTGGACTGTGGAGGCAATGGGTAGCCTTGTGGGGGAGCGGGGGCCAAGCAGGCAGGGCGGGGCATGAAGCGGGGCAGTTTTTGGGCACTCAGCCTCTAAAAGGTTCGCCATCACTAAGCTAGATTATGAATGGGGAGATCCACATATAGCTAGCCTTAGTCATGTATGCTCGCTGGATATGTTTGGGACATGTGCTGCAGGTTCAGTGAAATAGGGCTGCTTTTATAGGGAACACAGATTGGTGCAGAAAGAGCTATGTACATATTTAACTATGTAGACAGCAGAGGTGTGCACCCACACACACATAAGACTAATGCCCATAACAATTTCCGTGGGCCGAAATACTTATTTGGATCCTGAACTCCAGCCCTGCGTGAAGGACTAGGTCAGATGGTTGCCTAGGCAAAGACATCATGCCAACCTTTACCCTGTTTCCCTCCTTGAAAGTGTTAAGGAAAAGCTTAAAAGTGTCCTCCTTTACCATCCTCATGTATTCTCCCTGCAGCCTCCTCCTTCGCTTTCTAGTAAGGGGAGTCTGGTGAAGATAGATAAGAGAACACTCGACTCAACCTGCTGCAGCACCAAAGGCGCCATATTCTATTAATGTGAGGCTGTCCTCGTAATAAAATAATTCTTTTTTATTTTGGAATTTAAGCCCACTGGCAAATTAATTCCAGCACCATGGACTGACGTTGCTCGCTCTGCTAAGGCACTAGTCTGAGCTACTAGAATTAAATTAGCACTTATCCTTGTTAGAGAAAATACAAAATAAAAAGCCCACAAATAAATGGCTGTACTGAACAAAGAAACAAAAATGTTCTTCTTGTCATACTTTCCGTCCTCTTTCGGAATAGCCAGTGACACTACAAGCATATATTACAAGCGTCTCTCTCCAAATGCTTGCAAATAAGCTACCAGGGGGTATATTCTATTTCAATACTGTCCAATCTCATAAACTGTGGTGAAATATATGGATCGCACAGTCTGGGAAACTCTCAACAGAAAAACCTTAGAAAACACCACCAAGAGAACAATTTGAGTTATTGTCATTTAAGTTCAGTCTCTATTAATGACAGGCTACATAATTAATTTCACAGCAAAGGGTTCTTGAGCCTAACAGAAGATGATGTACCATCTCTGAGAGCTGCTTCAAACTGGAAGAGAGGAAGGCCACCAACAGGTAGCAAGCTGTCTGTTCAGAATTGCCACCATGCCTACAAGTGATATGAGTTATGCATATTAACTGCAAGCTTATCTAAACGAGTGTCTGCACAACTGCATAAATGAAGATTAAGAGTAGCTAGTTTCTTGGCTGAGTGCAACAAGAAGGATGGGATATGCAGCCTGACTTAACCATGGACAGGAATTTCTGAGTAGTACTTGAGAATAAGCTTTTAATGTTTTCATCAAATGTTACACCCGCACGGAAACATCTTATAGGCACTTAAAGCAGTATTGAAGCACAAGGGAAAATAAAATAGCTGGAGGCCCTTAATGCAGAGTTCCTCAACCTTTCTGGGTTGGCAGCCTGGGGGGGAGGAGGGAAACAGGGGATGGTTTTGTGGGGGGGAGGTGTGTGCGCGCATGTGCACAAGCACCACGTGAGTGGGGCCAACAGCACCCGTGACGCTCATACGGGTCGGGCCACAAGCTCCCACAATATTCACGATGCTCGTGTAAGTGGGGCCCCAAGACCCTGCGTCACTCGCACGAGTGGGGCCCAAGAACCCACGACGCTCGCACGAGTGGGGCTGAGCGTGCGCATGCACCAGCCAGCCACTCACGTGGCCCGATTGCGAATAGGCCACGAACCGGTAGTGGCCCACCGCCCACAGGTTGGGGACCCCTGCCTTAATGGATCTCCCAAAACAGTGATTCTCAACCTTTCTAATGCCTTGACCCCATAATACAGTTCTCCATGTTGTGGTGACCCCCAAGTGGGTGTGGCCACTAACAAGAGGGAGTAGGACAGCTAGGGAAAAGGGAAAAAAATGGCGGCAGCATGGTTTGGTGACCCCCGTGAAATGGTCATTCGACCCCAAATGGGGTCCCGACCCACAGGTTGAGAACCACTGTTCCAAAAGGTTTTGTGAGAACAAACCCAGCCAAAATATTTTATATCAGCTTCTCTTTCACCTTATGGTATATTTTGTCTGGCAAAAGCCAGGCCACCAATTTTAGCTTGGTATTGGAGTTCTTACCTTTGCACCCGCTAAAAATCCCAGCGATATGGCGACTCTGGCACGAAGATCAGGCCGGTCTTTGGGCCAGACATATGAGACCATTGCTTTGAGGATCTTTCCACCCTCTATTTCTTTCAACTGTGGAGAGAAAAGGTGGTGAAATGGAAAGGATGGTCTCAACAGGTTTCCAAACGACATTGGTTCCAAAGTCCCAATTCAAGAAATGTGAGCTATTTTTAACTAGCAACAGACAGGAACTTATTTCCCCCTTTTGAAATAAAATCAGCAGCAAAAGAAAATGGTTCAATGGATACAAAGTAATAGCACACTTAAGAAAATTGTTCTAGATGGTTTAATTGCATGTAAAATGTCATGTCTTTTGCACCAAATGGCTCTGAGTTTGAGTCAATGTGCATTGCCAGTCTGCTAACGATTCAAGTACAGAATTAAATTTCCTTCTTAAACCAATTGTCCGGTCCTGTATTATTAATTCCTTCTTTAGAGGTCAAACGAATTACAGAGGCCTTTTTGTCACTTTATGGGTTTTTCTAAATAGTGAAACTAAAAATATAGGGATAATTTTATTCAAGCATAAAACCTCCTATTTCAAGGATCTTCAATTGATGTTCTCACATTACAAAATTATAAATAATATCTACAGCAAAGGGCTGTAAAAATGCAGATGGACCAAAAGCAGGTTTGTAAACTGGATTTAAGGATCAAGGCACCTGCTCCCCTCCATGCTGGGTGGGGAGGAGGAAACCTAAATCAAAATTCCAGTAACTATGAAAGATTCTGAGTTCTAAAAGTTAGTTTTGGAACATACAAGATTTGGGCGATTAGGGCAAAAATTAAATATAAGATTAGGGCGTATGAAATCCAAAGAAACTTGTGAGGAGGTAGAAGCAGGTGTGAACCTTCTGTGCTTCAGTCCCGTTCCTTAATCAGTATTAACAGCCAACTAGCATTTGAGTCAGATTAGCTACAAGGGAGCAATCAAATGTAGGAAATCCAGATGTAATTTTGGACAGTATTATATGGAAGTCTCTAACTCTTTTGGGCCAGAAAGCTCATCTGGAATTTAGAGAGCACATTATAGGACACTCTATAACAGTGTTTCTCAACTTTGACAATTTTAAGGCATGTGGACTTCAACTCCCAGAATTCCACAGCCAGCATTGCTGGCTGTGGAATTCTGGGAGTTGAAGTCCACATGCCTTAAAATTGTCAAGGTTGAGAAACACTGCTCTATAAAATGGCTGCCATTGTGGACACAGCTGATCACTGTAGATTTTAGAAAGAGCCGGCATTAGCCATACTCCACTCAAGATCAAGGATGCAGCTGCAGAGGTAGTCAACAGTATTAAGTATCTGGGGGTGCAGATAACTAACAATCTGAATTGGTCTTTCCACATGTCATCCTTAGTGAAGCGTGCAAACCAGAGTCTGCATTTCCTGCCTTGGATGAGGAGAGCACACCTTTCTCCTTCTGTCCTGGCCACTTTTTACAGAGGCACGATTTTAAGCAATTGCATCACTGTCTGATTTGGTGGCAGCAGAGCCTCAGATAGAAGGTCCACCAGAGAGTGGTAAGGACAGCCAAAAAGATCGCAGGAAGCTCGCTCCCTGGTATTCAAGATGCTGCTTAGAAGCGCTTATATGTGCTTAGAGCTCAAAGCAGTGTTAGAGACCCCACACGCCCACTTTACGGTCTGTGTCTGTTGCTCCCCTCTGAGAGGAGGTTTTGAAGTATTTATAGCAGGACTACCCGATTCTATAATAGCTTTGTTCCCTATGCCATCTATCTGGTAAACTCACAAGATTATGTTTGCATACATAACCTGAACTAGATTGTTCTTTCTCTGTGTCATATAATATATGTGGGTATATGCATAGTTCTGTATTTATTTATATTTGTCATATTTATGTAATGTATATTGGAGGTGATGATCCTTTGAGAGCTGTATGCAACAAAATTTCATTTTAACATATGCTGATTAGTGTACATTCAAAGTAACAATGAAGTTATTCTATTAAAAAAGCTATTATTCTATTATATCACCAGCCACACATTTAGCAGAAGGCAAACCAACATTGATCTACAGCTACCAACCATTTTATTTTCTAAGAACCCCTTAGGAGTCCATATGGGCTCCAGAGGCATTTTTCTTCAAATGAAAGATTCTAAAAAGTTTAAATTCGGCAGGTCAGGGAGCTTAGAAGGCCTCAAGAAACATATCAATAGGTTGCACAGTAGCCTGCACCAGCCCTAACCACAGCTAAAATCATAATTAGGAAGATCTAGCCCAGGGGTAGGCAACCTTGGCTCTTTCACGACTCGTGGACTTCAACTCCCAGAATTCCTGAGCCAGCATGGCTCAGCTTGGAAACTCTCCCTTTCCCCTCAGCATGGCTGGCTCAGGAATTCTGGGAGTTGAAGTCCACGAGTCATAAAAGAGCCAAGGTTGCCTATCCCTGCTCTAGACTATAGATTAAAGTCGACTACAGGCAGTCCTCAACTTACAACAGTTCATTTAGTGACAGTTCGAGATTACAATGGCACTAAAAAAAGGGACTTATGGCAGTTTTTCACACTTACATCCATTGCAGTACCCTTATGGCAGTGGTGGCGAACCTATGGCACAGGTGCCAGAGGCGGCACTCAGAGCCCTCTCTGTGGGCACGCACGCCATCGCCCCAGTCCTAGGCCTTCAGCTGGGTTTTAAAAAACCTTTTTGCTTTAGGCTTCCCCTGCCGTGTGCAAAAAAAAAAAAAAGGTTCAATCAATCAATCAATTTCAACTTCTCGCGGGGAAAAAAAAAGATCTTGCAAAGTTGGAATTGATTGATTGAACTTTTTAGTCCCACCCAGTCTGCCGTAACCACCGAAGCCACGCCCACCCAATGGGCCATGCCCACCCAATGGGCCACGCCCACCCGGCACCCGACGATACATAAGTGGATTTTGGGTTGCAGTTTGGGCGCTCGGTCTCTAAAAGGTTCACCATCACTGCCCTACGGTCACATGATCAAAATTCAGATGCTTGGCAACGGACTCATATTTATGACAGTTGTAGTGTCCCAAAGTCATGTTGTGACCTTCTATTCTTCTGACAAGCAAAGCCAAATTCACTTAAAACCCATGTTACTAACTTAACAGAGGCAGTGTTTCACTTAACAACTGTAGCAAGAAAGGTCGTAAAATGAAGCAAAACTCGCTTAACAACTGTCTCACTTAGCAACAGAAATTTTGTGCTCAATTGTGATCATAAGTTGAGGACTAACTGTATGCCACCAAGATGCGGCACCAGCTAATATTGTTTCTGAAAACTGCTTTTTCTCTTTTTTTGGTAATGCGACTTTCAATTAAAACAAAACTCATTTTTAATTTTTCAAATTTTCAATCAAAAGAGAAATGGGCTTCTAACATTTTATAAAGAACAAATGGTAAGCCCAGATGGAGCAAATAAAAAAACACCAGATTCTGCTCTGTTACTGTATTCTCTCACACACTGTTCTACCTACAGAAACAACAACAAAAAATTAAGTTATACTTAAGGTTGTTGACAACACATTTCCACCAAGTTATACCATGGCAGAAAATTTTAATCAGATATCCTGTTTTATTGCCCTATTATTTTTTTTCTTCCCTAATAATTGTATAAACTATTTCCTTTCCCCCAATAATTGCTCTATTAAATTATTTCTCTTTTTACTGTAGTCTTTTATTGTAAAGGTGGGTCAAAGGCTGTAATAAAGATACCAGATTTGATTTGACAATACAAAGTTTGCGAACAGGATCAAATATAAAGGCTAAGGCTAAGAATAAGAATCCTGGCAAGTTCCCTGCATTCAAACAAGACACATATCTATAGCTAATTAGGATAGCCAGATTCTTGTCCATTTACTCTGCCCTTCCCTATCCAGGCTAGATGTCTGTTCATGAAGGTGGGCTACTATGCATCCGCTCACTGTTTTGCCAACAGGGATATCAGTCAGTGTAAGATGAAACTCTCACACAAACCGAGATGATTGGCAACATGGGGCTTATTTCCACATAAAGTTGCACAGATTTATGCTGCAAGTGCAACAGCAAATGACAGCTTTCGAACAGCCTTCATTCCTGTGCAAAAAGCCATAGAGAAAGGGTGGGCCCTTAATCTTCCCAAGAGCCACATGAGAAATTGGGACTACTGTGGAGGGCTGCCACCATTCCCTCACCACCACAGGCCAGAGAGGGGACAGTCAAAAGACCTGACATAAAACGCCCAGGTGTGCCATAGAAAGTAAATCCATGTCTTTCTTAGCAGAATGGCAAGGCAAGAAAGACCAGGCAGACTCCAATTTGTCAGAGAATATGCAGCAGCTGAAATCTCGCTATTCCCCAAATGTCTATGGAGATTCTCAGTCATCCAGGTCACAGGTTGTCCCAGAGGTGCTTTATCAAAAGGCAACTGGACTTTGTTTTTCTTGAAGACGTTTCGCTTCTCATCCAAGAAGCTTCTTCAGTTCTAACTGAATGGTGGAAGATAGAAGGATTTATATTCCTGGTCTTTAGCCCTCTTTCTGAGAGCCGTTTCGGCCACTTGGAAGTTTACCTGTTCATTGCTATTCCCCAGTTTTTCATCAGAATTGATCTCCGCTATGAGCGAGAAAAGGTCCAGCAGGGAACTGCATTATGTTAGACAAGAGCAGTACCAGAGACCATGAATCTAGATCCAGCTGCAGACAATGCCAGCTTCCAACTTGCCACTTAGCATTTAGTATTTCTAAAAGCACCCATCTCCCCTTTTGTTTCTCCACTGTTCATCCTTTGTGACTCTTCCCTGCAAGCCTGAAGGTACAGCCCTGTGCTCATTTTCATTTAATGCCACATGCCAGGCTGCAGTGAATTCTAAAAGGATATGACCCATTTTGAAAGACGGTATTTGTTTAACAAATGGGGCAAATAATCATCACTATTAAAAGCTTGCTGATTTAGGCCAGAGGTAAACCTACCCCATGCTGGCTTAAAGCTTCACAGGATAAGGGAATTAGAAAAGGCTGATGTGCCGGTAAACATGTCCTAATGATGTCGTACGATATTGCACTGACACTTGGACAATTAAGGCAGTTCGTAAAGTGGGCCTCTCTATGGGTCTTATGCATTCTACCCTTTGCATCCAAACCCATAAAAACATGACTCCACTGAAGCCAATCAGGATCTGTGGTATTGCCTCTCACCATTACTTATCACAGTGGATTTCTCTTAACAGATCAGCAATTTCCAATTTCCTGGCTTTATGGACCTTTAGTTGGTATCCATGACCGCATGTCACACTAAGCACATTTGGCTTAGGAAAATGCGTGAGCCCATCTCGTGATACTTACTTTTATTCCACGAATCAGAATTTGAAACAGTGATTTGTCACAGTCTTATTAAATGCTTCATATCAAGCCCAAACCATGGATTATTGTCAATTTTCTTGGCCTCTTAGAATTTGCCTATCAAGAAACTATGGATGGAGGAACAAGTGTTGAAAAGTGAAACCTTAAGGAAACCACCATTATTCCGTCTGTTTTGCTAGTGTTATTATCTTCCAGTTTCATGTGCTTGAAAACTGGATTAAATCCCTTGCAGCTACCTGAACACCTACAGCTCATTTGAAATGTGTATGTGTGTGTGGGGGGGGGGGAGGCAAAGTGCAAGGAAGGGAAGTACAAAGACAAGCAACTGAACATAAAAAACCATGGAATTTGTCAGTCTCTTGAGAATTCTTGAGCTCAATCTTATAGCTGATTCCGGTGCTGATTCCTTGTTTTATTTGCCCTCACTGGAACTACTCAAAGAAGGGACACAATCTGATTCCAACAATATTGCATGAAAGTTTGGACTACAAAATGCCAGGTCTTGGCAAATTAATTTACTGCTTTTCCTCTGAGACAATTGGTGGGAAGAGGAATGGTAGAGGTAGTCCTCAAGTTACAACAGTTCGATTAGTGACTGTTTGAAGTTACAGTGGCACTGGAAAAGTGACTTATCACTGTTTTTCACACTTACGACTCTTGCAGCATCCCCATGGGCCATGTGATCAAAATTCGGACACTTGGCAACTGACTCATATTTATGACGGTTGTAGGGCCCCAAGGTCATGTGATCACCCTTTGTGACCTTCTGACATGCAAAATCAATGGGGAAGCCAGATTCACTTAACAACCGGGTTACTAACTTAACAACTGCAGTGATTCAACTTAACAACTGTGGCAAGAAAAGTGATAAAATGGGGGCAAAACTGACTTAACAAATGCCTCACTTAGCAGCAGAAATTTTGGGCTCATTTGTAGTTGAAGTCAAGGACTGCCTGTATTCAAATCGCTCCTCATAATGGAAGAAGAAATTAATAGAGTTATAGCACATCCTTGTCCAAAAACTGAATGTGTCTATTTTTGTATTTTTAATACAAGAGGCAATTTTCGTCGCATCACTTAATAATGTATTACAAATACAATTTGCCAAATGAATCACAGTCCAACAGGCCTCCTTTTATAAGCAACAGTCTTGGCTCTTATAAAGGCAGAGCTTTTTTTTTTTTTTTTTTAACAACATCTTTACTAAAGGTATCCTCTGTGTTCCTTGCATATATACTGTATCTTGGGAGTCTTATAACTTTGGCAGGACCCAGGTTTGTTCCTTTTGAAAATTTTAATATTAAGTCCAATAGCTCTCCACAGTACAGAGATTGTGTGACATTTGATCAACTTTCCTCCCTCTCTGAGTCAGCAGAAGTAGGAGAAGCTGCTTCTTGTTTATGTAAAGCAGTGGTTCTCAACCTGTGGGTCGGGACCCCATTTGGGGTCGAACGACCATTTCACGGGGGTCGCCAAACAACGCAGTCTGCCATTTTTTCCCCCTTTTCCTTAGCTGTGCTACTCCCTTTTATTCTATTGGCTTTTGAAAGCTAATAGAATAGATTCTCTTGAATAGAGTCTAATTCTATTGGTTTTCCAAAGCCAATAGGAATTGTCCAGGCTGTCTCTGCCCTGCTGAGCCCGCCAAAAGTCCCATTCTGCAAACGGTGCTGCACCAGTTGAGTAGTCCTCGACTTACGACCGGTTGAGTAGTCCTCGACTTACGACCGATTGGGGGTCACGGCATTAAAAAGGTTGAGAACCACTGATGTAAAGGGTCCTGTCATTTTCCCAGCTCCACAGGAATAGAGCTGGTGTGTGCTCAATAAATGTGTGATCGTAGGCTTGGGAGACCAGGCAGTGCAAAACTTAATATTGTCCTTGCATCAACCAATGGGTGGGACTGACACTGTTGTCTGGAAATAGACAGAGGGCCTATGTAGTTTTAAGACACTTTTAAGCATTTAAGCAGCAGCTACAATCCAGTTCTCCCCAGCCATTCTTTTCTGCCAAAGGTAAATAGCCACTGGGAGACTTATACAATGGGGATGGGGATTGAAGTCTATCCGTCTTTCCCCACTTCCTGTTGTCTAAGCTCACAGAAGCTGCCTTCCTGAAAACATTTCATTCGGAAGGGGCCAAGAAGTTGAATGTGGCAGGAAAGCAGAGAATAATGAATGCTAAAGTGAAAAATATGAATTCATGTCAGAGCGGGAGTTAAAGAAGCAAGGTCTAAAATCTGAGAAGTGAGTTACTGATATATTCAAAAATAGTTTGATATTGCCTTTCAGGGCATTTTTCAATGACAGCCATGACATAGTAACTATCTAAAAAGCACAACTGACTGAAGCAGCTGAATAGGGTATGATGGCATTTCTTTTTTTCATCCGCTGTCATTATAGAAGAATCCTATGTTTCTTATATATATTAATTTGCGCTGCTTGTCAGCTGCCCCAGAGGCCTGTTGTCAGAAAGATATGAGCATTTTAAATAAATAAAACAAAATGCTGTCCCCCGCTAAGATATAATCAAAGAGGAGAGCGGAGGAAAAGAGGCATGAATGTGTAATGGAAAAGTCAGTCCTCTCTGTGATTTTTCATACTGGTCAAAGCCATCAAAAAGCTTCAAACTGACACCTTTCTCCCCAGGATGCAGCCATTTCCAGTCACAGATAAGCTGGTGGCTTCCTTCTTCTGTCAAAACTAATTTTCTGAACAATTTATGCAAATAGGGATTTGCTTCCAATCAACCTGGTTCAGAAAACCCCAGCCAAACTTCAGAGAAATGGACAGAAGAATTTCTCCCTTGCGTCCTCAGAGGCAAACACGCAAGCAACCGTGTAGACCAGTGGTGGCGAACCTATGGCACCCGTGCCAGAGGCGGCACTTACGAGCCCTCTCTGTGGGCACGTGCACCCATGCCCCGGAGATGGCAACTATCCCTCTTCAACCAGCCACCCGCTAACTCGCCGAGGTCCCATGTGGCTGGATGCATCTCAGCACGGCTGGTTTTCCTCCCCTCCGTCCCATTCCTCCTCCCTTCGCATGCTCTCCTTTTCCTGGGCGCGACCCACTGCATCGCCTGCTCAGCTGTCAGCTATCCGTCCAGCTCAGAGACGGATTCTCTGAACTGCTGAGGGCGGGCTGCAGAGCCCCAGAGTGCGCCGGTTGAGGGGCCGGCAGGCTGTGGCTGCTGACGGACACTGTCACCCCCCATGTGCTCGCTGGCCTCTCCTTGCCCTGTGACAATGGCATCCCTGCCCTGCCTCGCCTCACCCCGCAGGATAAGCCTCCTGCCCAGCGTCCCACCTGCCAGAGACCGCCCGGATCTCACCCAACCCTGCCCAGGACCCACAGGCGTCCCTCCCCACGAACAACATCAAGGTGACCACGTGCATCTTGGCCCCATCTTATGATTTATGGTGAAGTGTTGTATTTCATGATTTATGATAAATGTATTTTCATGTTGTATATGATCATGTTTATCACTATTACTTGTATGTACACTGAGAGCTTATGCACTGGAAACATATTCCTTGTGGTGTCTAACCACACTTGGCCAATAAAGAATTCTCTTCTCTTCTCTTCTCTAATAAAGTTGGAAGGAGCCTTGGAGGTCATCTAGTCCAATCCCCTGCTCAGGCAGGAAACCCTATACTATTTCAGACAAATGGCTGTCCAGTCTCTTCTTAAAAACTTCCAGTGTTGGAGTATTCACAGTTTCTGGAGGCAGGTTGTTCCACTGGTTGATTGTTCTAACTATCAGGAAGTTTCTCCTTAGTTCTAGCTTGCTTCTCTCCTTGATTAGTTTCCATCCGTTGCTTCTTGTCCTGCCTTCAGGCGCTTTGGAGAATAGATTGACACCCCCCCTTATTTTTGTGGTAGCCCCTCAAATATTGGAACACTGCTATCACATCTCCCCTAGTCCTTCTTTTCACTAGGCTAGACATAACCAATTCCAGCAACCGTTCCTTGTAAATTCCATTCCATTCCATTCCATATATTCTATTCTATTCTATTCTATTCTATTCTATTCTATTCTATTCTATTCTATTCTATTCTATTCTCTATTCTATTCTATTCCATTCCATATATTCTATTCTATTCTATTCTATTTTCTATTCTATTCTATTCTATTCTATTCTATTCTATTCTATTCTATTCTATTCTATTCTATTCTATTCTATTCTATTCTATTCTCTATTCTATTCCATTCCATTCCATTCCATATATTCTAGTCTATTCTTTTCTATTTTCTATTCTATTCTATTCTATTTTCTATTCTATTCCATTCCATTCCATATATTCTATTCTATTCTATTCTATTCTATTCTATTTTCTATTCTATTCTATTCTATTCTATTCTATTCTATTCTATTCTATTCTATTCTATTCTATTCTATTCTATTTTCTATTCCATTCCATTCCATTCCATTCCATATATTCTAGTCTATTCCATTCCACTCTGCAGAAAACCCAGGATGGATTAAGGGGTGATATTTACCGCTTTCTTGGGGTCTGAATGGAGGCCTCCCCCAGCGTGTCCGTGCCAACAGGTTCTTTTGTCTATCTGAGACCAGCCCTGCAGATGCTGGAAGAAGAACACAGCAGAAAAGGATGTCAACGGTTGTACAGTTACAATCAAATCCATTGCAGGTAGCCCTCGACTTACGACAATTGAGCCCCAAATTTATGTTTGTAAGGGAAACATGTGTTGAGTTTTGCCCCATTTTATCACTTTTCTTGCCACTGTTGTTAAGTGAATCTTTACAGTTGTTATGTTAGTGACACGGTTCTTAAGTGAATTTGGCTTCCTTGTTGACTTTGCTTGTCAGAAGGTCACAAAAGGGGATCACGTGACCCCAGGACGCTGCGACCGTTGTAACTATGTGCCAGTTGTCAAGCCTCTGAATCTTGATCATGTGACCATGGGAATGCTGCAATGGTTGTGTGAAAAACAGTCATACGTCACTCTTTCAATGGCATTGTAACTTTGAACGGTCACTAAATGAGCTGTTGTAAGTCAAGGACTACCTGTACAGTGCAATCCCAACTGAATTTTGCTAACATCTTATTTATTTATTTATTTAATTTATTTATATGCCGCCCAATCCCGAAGGACTCAGGGCGGCGTACAAAATTAAAACAGTCATCGAGAATAAAACAATAAAATAATACAATCATACCGCAAGTCCGATCATGCCCCCCCCCCCGGGGACATCAGCCCCAGGCCTGCCGGAACAGGAGAGTTTTAACGGCTTTCTTAAAGGCCGGCAGGGTGGGAGTTGTTCGAACCTCGGGGGGGGAGTTGGTTCCACCGGGTCGGAGCCACCACAGAAAAGGCCCTTCCCCGAGGGCCCGCCAGCCGACATTGTCTGGCCGACGGGACCTGAAGGAGGCCCAATCTGTGGGACCTCACCGGTCTCTGGGAACTGTGCGGCAGTATGCGGTCCTGTAAGTAACCTGGTCCTAAGCCATGAAGGGCTTTAAAGGTGATAACCAACACCTTGAATTGCATCCGGAGGCCCACAGGAAGCCAGTGCAGCTTGGTGACACGTGGGCGTACCTTGGCGCACCCACAATCGCTCTCGCGGCTGCATTCTGAACCAACTGCAGCCTCCGAACGCTCTTCAAGGGTAGCCCCTGTGGCTGAGGATGGACTGGTGAATAAACATTTAGGAAAATTATGGGAGTCCGGAAGTAGCTCAATAGCAAGAGCACTTAGACCAGGGTAGGCAATCTCGGCTCTTTTATGAGTCATAAAAGTCATAAAACAGCCGAGGTTGCCTACCTCTGACTTAGACTTATGTACCACTCTGTAGTACTTTTTACAGCCCTCTCTAAGTGATTTACACAGTCAGCCTGTTGCCCCCAACAATCTGGGTCCTCATTTGACCGACCTCAGAAGGGCGGAAGGCTGAGTCAACCTTGAGCCGATCAGGATCGAACTGCTGAGCTGCTGGCAGCCAGGAGTCAGCAAAAGCAGCCTGCAGTACTGCGTTCTAACCACTGCGCCACCACAGTTCATAACTATAACTGCTTTATATATAAATTACTGCAGGGGTCCCCAACTCCAGGTCCATGGACCAGTACCGGGCCGCAGCATGCCAGCAACCGGGCCGCACAAACAAGCAAAGCCCCATCCGTGGGATACAGCAGCCACAAAACCACACACTCTGACTGTACCACTCTATAGTACGGTCCACGGAAAAACCTCTCTCCACGGAATCGGTCCCTGGTGCCCAAAAGTTTGGGGACCTCTGAATTACTTCTCTCAGGAATCCTTGCAGAAGGCTGCATAAAGCCTGGGAGTCTATCTTTACAAAGAGGCTTAGAAAGCAAATGCTGCAATACATCTATTTTGAATTAATGCAATGAAAGACATAATAAAAAAAGTAAAAATCTTTAAATACATGATGACTCAAATTCTAAAATGTTTCTTTCTTCAACAAGAGCACAGCTCCTCCAGAAGATAAAGAAATGCTTTGAACCGTATACAAGCAATCCTAGACTTATAACGGTTCACTTAGTGACTGTTCAAAGTTACAACAGCACTGGAAAAATAACCTATGACCGTTTTTCACACTTATGACCTTTGCAGCATCCATATGGTCATGCAATCAAAATTCAGACTCTTGGCAACTGGTTCATATTTATGACGGTCGCAGCATCCCGGGGTCATGTGATCCTCTTTTGCGATCGTCTGACAAGCAAAATCAATGGAGAAGCCAGATTCATTTAAAACAGTGGTTCTCAACCTGTGGGTTGGGACCCCATTTGGGGTCGAATGACCATTTCACGGGGGTCGCCAAACAACGCAGTCCGCCATTTTTTCCCCCTTTTCCTTAGCTGTGCTACTCCCTTTTATTCTATTGGCTTTTGAAAGCCAATAGAATAGACTCTCTTGAATAGAGTCTAATTCTATTGGCTTTCCAAAGCCAATAGGCATTGTCCAGGCTGGCTCTGCCCTGCCAAAAGTCCCATTCTGCAAACGGTGTTGCACCAGTTGAGTAGTCCTCGACTTATGACCGGTTGGGGGGGTCGCGGCATTAAAAAGGTTGAGAACCACTGATTTAAAACCACATTACAAACTTGACAAATGTAGTGATTCACTTAACAACTGTGGCAAGAAAGGTCGCAAAATGGGGCAAAATTCACGTAACAACCATCGTACTTAGCAGCAGAAATTTTGGGGTCAATTGTGGTCGTTAAATTCAGGACTACCTGCATGGGGAATATTGGATTCAAATATCTAGTCCAGGGGTAGGCAACCTTGGCTCTTTTATGGCTCGTGGACTTCAACTCCCAGAATTCCTGAGCCAGCATGAGGGAACTATGGCCGCCTTGATGACTTATGGACCAACTCCCAGAATTCCTGAACCAGCCATGGTTGCTTACCCCTGATCTAGTCAACTGAAACCAAAATCTTACTTCCTAATCTCTTATAGATATCTTCATGTCAACTATTAAATATAGCCCACTATGTGGGTGGTATATAGCAGCAGAACCCACATGAGATCGGTGTGTGCATGTGTGCATGCATATATGGGAACCAGGTGTTGAGTTCTCTTGAGTCTTGAGTAAAAGAGCATTTAGGGCAAAAGCAGAGTGCAGGTACTGGGTGATAAAGCTAGCAGTTTTGGGGAGAAATGGAATCAGCTGCAGCTTCTGCCACTTCTTACCTCATCTCCATGGTTGTGTAATTGTCACACAGTGTACCGCTTGAAATCAAATGAACTAACAACACATGATTTGCTTTATTGTTACCCTGAGCTCTTCTATTTTTGGATTTTAAAAAATGATGTATTCAGAATGTCATTTCTGAAAGTGCATCTAGGCTTCAAAGAATATGCTTGATATCTCTATTATGCTCGAACACCAAAGAGCAATTTGGTGAGCAACATAACATCATAAAGCACTTACGAAGAACTTAAGAAATGCTTGCAAATACATAAAATGTGAGAAAGCATTAATTCACAACCATTCTTCACAGAAAACATGATTGCTTCTGTTTCTAAGAAGGGGAGCTAGGAGGTTATAGGGAAAGAAAAAAAATGGAAGAAAATGGCGTTAACATTCTATTAATAAGCATTTAAGCAAAAATCACAAGCTGCATAACAGGTTATATGCATTATGTGAGTCAATGCTGTTGGTCTATTTATCTTATTTATCTTGCTACTTGCTTCTTAAATTTATATACCACCATAGAGTCCAAGGACTGACAGCAGCTAGCAACATGATAAAAACCAAATAACCTAATTCAAATTTCCACAGTAAAAAAATGAATTAAAAAAAAAAACAACACAACAAAACAAAGATCCCAAAAGGCGCTCCAGAAGACTCACATTATTAAAGACTATATATATGAGGATTCTTCCAACATTTGTATTAATCATTTTAATGCAGTATGTAAAATAAAATTTTGCATAGTCCCTTAAACTTCTGCATTAAAAATAGGAAATATTAAATAGTAGATTGAATTATGCTATATTTCTATAAAACCAAATAATAGTAGTAATAATATAATATATATTTAGAAGTATAGTTTGCCTAAATTCCAATCTGTTCTATATTGTCCTTGACATCTTCAAAACTTTTTAAGAACAGCTGCCCAGAATAGTACTCACTTCCTTGAAATTTCTACAAGCTGGAATCTAAACCGACTTTGCCCAATTTTCGGTAATTTTTCACCCCACAGAACAGGTTTTTCAGGAAGAAACAACGGGAGAAAAAGTGCAGGGAAGTCCCTTCTGCTAGTAAGATTCTTTTAAAAGCTGCCTACACAGTGATTACTTTTAAGGGCAAAGAGATAGGTCTACTTTAAAAAAAATGGATATTTTTATTGGGCAATGCAGCCCACATCTACTGAATTAACGTCCTGTATCTGGACCTCCCAGATGTACAGGAAGGTGACAATATATTTGCATGCTAGTCTGAGTTGAATGGGTTTACAGTGTTGTGGGATGCAGCCTTTATCTTTATATGGTGTATGAGAAAACATTCTTAAATCAAAATAGGAATTATTCCTTTGGGCAAAGCATATGATGTGAGCACCGTCATTCTGTTCTAGTCACCTTAGGGCAGTGGTTCTCAATCTGTGGGTCGGAACCCCATTTGGGGTCGAACGACCATTTCACGGGGGTCGCCAAACAATGCAGTCCACCATTTCCCCCCCCCCTTTTCCTTAGCTGTGCTACTCCCTTTTATTCGACTGGCTTTTGAAATCCAATAAAATAGACTCTCTTGAATAGAGTCTAACTCTATTGGCTTTCAAAAGCCAATAGGAATTGTCCAGGCTGTCTCTGCCCTGCTGAGCCCGCCAAAAGTCCCAGTCTGCAAACGGTGCTGTACCAGTTGAATAGTCCTCGACTTACGGTTGAGTAGTCCTCGACTTACGACCGGTTGGGGGGGTCGCGGCATTAAAAAGGTTGAGAACCACTGCCTTAGGGTTAAGCATGCTGTGTGAATTAAGTGAATCCTTTGATCCTCACTAGCTCAAGGTTGACTCAGCCGGTAAAATGAAGACCCAGATTGTTGAGGGTAATTCGCTATAAACCGCTTAGAGAGGGCTGTAAAGCACTGGGAAGCAGTATATAAGTCTAAGTGCTATTGCTATAAGTCTAAGTCCCGGGTGTCAAACTCGCCACGTCACGTGTCACAACTCTTTTTGCACTGCTGGCAATGGGGTGGGTGCAGCTTCAATATGATGAAATTGGCCCACAGGCGGGCAGTTTGACACCCCTGGTCTAAGTGTTAGTACTAAGTCAACATTTGATTGAGAGATCAAGGGGGCTGCTAGTTTTTCTGACATGTTTCAGGTAATCTTTCCTGTGCAGCTGACTACTTTTACAAGGCTCCAACTTCTCCTTCCTAGTCCTAAATGTTCTTAGGTGAGTTCTAATTTCCACAGAGTGGTTTTATTCCAGTTGAGATGTTTAAGAAACAAAATTAAAAATAAAGGAAGGAAAAATAATCATTTGTACACTGGATCTGCAACTAGGAATATATTTGTGAATACAGTGGAAAATTTCACTTAGATGCTAAAGACAAATTCCTTTCCAGTCTGGGAGCGTGAGCTTAAAGGCTCTCATTTATTACTTTCAAGAGTACAAGTTGTGCATGACCTAATCTAAGTAGGGAGTACAGGCAGTTCTCAAATTACCACATTAATGGAGCCTACCCATCACGGCTGAAACATGTGACAGTCGTAAAACAGGTCAATTACATTTTACAACCTTTTCTGTGGTGGTCATTAAGCAAATCCCAGCAGTGCTTAAGCAAACCAATGGTTCCCTATGGTGTGGTTTTGCTGAAATCCAGAAGTAAATGTTGGGTTTTGGCAAAAACGTTATGAAATGTGGTCTCATGCCTTTGGGATGCTGTAAATAGCCATAAACGAAGTCAGGTTGCTGAGCACGTGAAGTATGGTCATGTGACCATCGGGGGGGGGATCATTGGAAATTTGAATCTGGGTTGTAAATACCTCCTAGGTAGGTCTGTCAGAACTTCGAACAGTTGCTAAATGACCAGCTGCAAATCAAGGACTGCCTGTGTGGCTGTACAGGTGATTACCGATGATGGAGTGTTTTTTTTTCCAGCTTATCTCTGGAAGATCTGACATCACCTTTTAAACCTGCTCCCCATTCCAGGCTGAAGAAGAAAATACTGATATGTGGGTTTGCTCCTTATTTTCAACACTATGTATCTGAGCCTCAGTATTGCCTAGACTGGGTCTTTACACTAAATTGTAAATTTCTTTACAACAAAGAAAGCAGTTATCCCTTAAAAACTGCATCTGAAACAGACATTTGCAGCCAGATTTCATGGCTGGCCTTGGGCTCATTTCTTAGGCTCAGTGTGCTTCTGAACAGAACTCTGCCCAGCTCTGCTGGTCATTGGGAAAATAGGAGGTCTGCTGGGACACCATACATGGCTCACGAGATGCAGTTAAGAAAACCCACTGCCCATTGTGGAACTACTATTTGAGGCCTTTTCCTAATGAATATACTCTAGATTTTGGGAAGCACTGACTGGGGGGGGGGGGGGGCTACCCATTTCAGATGCTGTGTACAAGGGAAGTTGCTTGTGTTCAGTTTCTAAAATGGGCAAACTAGGAAGTCTGTTTTCCAATCATTCTGGATAGGGGATGCCTAGTATACAGGAAAGACATTTCACATGCACTCAGAGGTATTATTACAAGCCAGGATTCTGGCTGGCTGGTAAATTTACAGCTAGTCCTTGACCATTGTGACAGTTCAAAATTACAGCAGATCCTCCCCCAAAAGTGCTTCCAAAGTTCCAATGGCCATTACTCCCCCCAACTCCCCCCCCCCATGCCAGATGCCCACATTCACAGGGCCACAATTTATGACAGTTCTGCCCAAACCAGGGTTTACTTCCGGTTTTCAGCTATAACACACAGAGCAAACAATGAATACAATGAGCAAGGCGTTCACGTACTGTTTGCCATTTTTGCTGAACTGCTGCCAAAAGGTCATAAAATCAGGTCTTGTCATGTTGTGAGCCAGTTTATGCCAGTCACAACTTACAACCATAATGGGCAGACTCCATTACGGTTGTAAGTTGAGGACTACCTGCACTACAAGGCCTGAATCAATGATCAGACCTGTTGTACTCTGAGCCTGGCTTTGGTAACCAAAAGTGAATCAGAAGCAGAATCGAGCTGGAAGGGACCTTGGAGGTCTTCTAGTCTAGCCCCCTGTTCAAGCAGGAGACACTAGACCAGGGGCAGGCCACCTTGGCTCTTTTATGACTTGTGGACTTCAACTCCCAAAATTCGTGAGCCAGCATGGCTCAGCTTGGAAACCTCTCCCTTTCCCCTCAGCATGGCTGGCTCAGGAATTCTGGGAGTTGAAGTCCACCAGTCATAAAAGAGCCAAGGTTGCCTACCTCTGGCCCAGGCCTAGGCCGCTTTCTTACTCATGGACTTCAACTCCCAGAATTCCTGAGCCAGCATGGCTCAGCTTAGAAACCTCTCCCTTTCCCCTCAGCATGGCTGGCTCAGGAATTCTGGGAATTGAAGTCCACGAGTCATAAAAGAGCCAAGGTTGCCTACCGTGCCCTAGACCAGTGGTGGCAAACCTATGGCACGCGTGCCAGAGGCGGCACTCAGAGCCCTCTCTGTTGGCACGCGCGCCACCACTGCCAACAGCAGGTCGCCCTGCCGCCTGGAGCCCCACCCAGCACAAAGGAGGCGAAGCGGCCGACTAGCAAGCTCGAGCAGAGGTGGTAGAGCAGAGGTCACCAACCATTATCGATTGGTGCACTGGAAGAAAAGGGAGGGGGAAGCATTTTACATGCGTGCATGTGCACATGGAGCTACAAGCATGTACGTGCTGCAAACGGGGCGGGGCTAGTGCCTGCGTGATACCCACTAGCCCTGCCCCATTCTTGCATGGTGCAGCGCCTTGTATCTACACCCTGTGTCATGGCGGCGGCCGTTTTTGCGCCTTGCAGCGCAATGGCCCATTTTTTTGCCACCAGTTTTTGCGTGTCAGAAATGGCACTCAGAGGTGCCTCCCTGCCCCCCCCCCCCAGGGCACCACAATGCTGAGGCCGTCCTGGCATTTTGCGATAAATAAGTGGGTTTTGGGTTGCGGTTTGGGCACTCGGTCTCTAAAACGCTCGCCATCACTGCCCTAGACCATTTCAGACAGGTGGCTCAAAATAAAAGTCTGGACTACTGACCCAAACTAGCAGCAACTCATTTCTGTAGGGTTGCAAAAAGACTTGTGGATTTTGTTTGTTTCTAAGAACAATTGGAAAGCCTGTCAGCTTGATATGGGTGTACCCGGCCACTCCCTGCCCTATAAACCTGGGTCATTTTCATAAAATTTATCCTTCAGCTGCTTGCCGCGATGGTGTCCTCCAAAGTCAAACCTATACTAGAAACAAACTTTGTTGCTGCCCACTTGTTTTTATTTTTACAACATTTCCCTGAAGCTTTACAGAAATAGTTCTCTAAGAAAGTTTTTTTTTTTTAATGTTAAGTTTTTTGGAGCTAGAAAGCAAAGTTATAAAGATTAAGCAAAAAGCAGAACCTAAATTACAGCCAAGCTCGGAGTCAGCGTCTACAAGTCTTTCTCATTAGCAGAATTTCAGCAGAGAAAAAAAAAAGATAGCTCAATACTACCTTCGCAGCATCTAATAGTTGTCTTGTATAGCATTTCCCTGAGCTGTGCCACGTGGGTCGATTTAAAATTGGTGGAACCTGGAAAGAAAAAAAAAAAAGCAAGGCTGTAATAATTAAAAGCACAATGTCCACTGCTGAAACACTCCAGCCATTTTGCAGAGACACATCCAGTACAAGGAAAGAGCATTTGCTTCTGAAAAGAACCAAAAGAAAATATGAAAACGGTTGGGGAATGTAGGTGAGTTACCAATTCAACTATTTAAAGAGCTAAATGGCAATTCTCTGCCTGTTCCTCTTAGTATTTCTACTACCTCATATTATTTCTTTATTAAATTTATATAGCCACCCCTTTCACAAGAAGTAAGTCTTGGTGGAGCATTGCTAAACAAGTATACAATGAACATAACACAGTCATTTCTCTCTCTTTCTCTCACACTCGCATACACATACAGAGAGAGAGAGAGAGAGAGAGAGAGAGAGAGAGAGAGAGAAAGGGAGGGAGGGATGGAGGGAGGGAGGGAGGGAGGGAGGGAGGGAGGGAGGGAAGATGTGTTTGCACCACCGCAGAGAAGGCCCATCTCCCACCAAGAGTACCCCCTGAAGGACGGGACCTGCTGGACGTCTCCCTTGGCAGATCTGATGGGATGAGCAAATGTAATTAGGAGTAGATGGTCCTTCAAATAACCTGGGCCCTACGGCACAAGTTTTTCAAACTTAATATTATCTAATTGATAAATTAAATACAGGTAGTCCTCAACTTACAATCACAATTGAGCCAAACTTTCCGCTGTTAAGTGAGACATTTTAAAGTGAGTTTTGCCTCGTTTTACAACCTCTCTTGTTTCAGTTGCTAAGTGAGTCACTGCAATTGATAAGTTAGTAACCCGGTTATTAAGTGAACCTGGCTTCCCCCATTGATTTGGCTTGTCAGAAAGTCGCAAAAGGGGATCAGGTGACCCCAGGACACACTGTGACCATCATAAATATGAGTCAGTTGCCAAGTGTCTGAATTTTGATCACGCGGCCATGGCGATGCTACAAAGATGCTTGTAAGTGTAAAAACTAGTCACAGGTCACTTTTTTTCAGTGCCATTGTAACTTTGAACAGTCACTAAACGAATAGTTGTAAGTCGAGGACCACCTGGAATTCTAATTCTAATTTCCAGTGCATTTGTACTACAGGTAGACCTCAACTTACCACCATTCATTTAGTGACCAATCAAAGTTGCAATGGCACTGGAAAAAGCGTGGCTGGTCTTTGCATGGATGGTTTCCACAGCTTCCCCACATTTGAATGATCAAAAGTTAACCAGGGTCATGGGATCACTGTTTGTGATCTTCCCGGCTGGCTTCTGACAAGCGCAGTCAGTGGGGGAAGCTGGATTCCCGTGAGTCATTTAGCAACGGCAGCCTTTTGCTGAACAAGCATGGCAAAAGGCCATAAAATTAGGTGTGACTCGCTCAACAACAGCCTTGCTTAGCAATGGAAATTCTGGTACCCGCTGTGGTTGTAAATCAAAGACCACCTGTATATTTTCTGATAAACGTATATAAGCTCAGATGCTTATATCTCCAATCAATCAATAAAAAAGGCAAACTGTCAACAGAAACTATGCTTAAATGTGAGTCCCTTTATCATCACAGCTGGATTACTGAACATTTTCAAGACTAAACATCTGACATGAGCATAACTGTTTCTTCCAATATTTTAAACATTAAAGATTACTCATCTCTTCTGATCATCACCTACGTTATTTCCAAAGTGTTTTTTTTTAATCTGAAGAAGCCCGTACTAGTTTATTTTGTGCTCTAAGAGAAGATTTTTAAACATTTAAAATAAGATGCACAATAATTAAGGAGTAAAGTAGTGTGCTACATCTACCAATATACCAAGAGTATTTGGAGACTTTCACTTTTAAAACTTAAACAAGGCTAACATTACTCTTTCCCCTCTTCTCACTTGACTCTTCCATCTCCTTTAAAAACAAAATAAAAAAATAATTAAGTGGGAAGACCAGAATATAAGGTTCAACCATCATCTTTGTTTCCTAGGAAACTCTTCGGCCCCACAGAGGCATTCTTGGAAAATAAACAGGGGGGGCATGCTTGCAGCATAGTAAATCACACCTATATGGGTCAGCAGCCAAGAAAGCTAACTGAAGGCTTGGCAATACTATCTTTGTGGCTACTTGAGAGAACACTGGCTCACCTATTTTATTTACTGCTGTCATTCAACAACATTTTTACAGCATGGGTATGACATGGAACTTATTCTCTTATCCACTAATGCCCATAATTTCACACAGAAGAAATTTCAATTGTTCAGCACGGACAGCTGAAAGGATCACAATTGGCTGGATTCACACAACACATTAAGCCATAAACCCTGGCTTCTAAGACAAGCTTGGTTTCACACAATATTTTAAATAAATACCAGACAAATCTATAGTCCAAAATACTAGCCAGTGATTGCTATGAAAATGATCAGAAAACTATTTAAAAGTTATGAGATTGTACATGTTATTTGAACATATAACAATGATCAACTATGTTAAAGTTTTAGATAATCTTGGCTTCAAATCTTTCAAAACATCAAATATTACATCTTTATCATCTAGGAATTTACTTATTGTACTTAAATCTTTATTTGGGGATTTGTGTTTTGTCTGTTATTTGATTTACAATAAACTGAGCTCAGTCCAACCATAAATAATGATATTGCCAGCCATAAGGAGAGAACAAGCATGCTCTTCCATATGAAATCACATACAAATTGGCACATAGATCTCATTCTGCATCAGGCATATCAATGCATTCTGTATTCATCTTTTATTTAATACAGAATGTATAGCCTGCAATATTCACATAACCCTAGATAATTCTATGGATTAAGATTAATTTGCCATTTGCAAAATTAAATAGGATTTTTCTAATAAGTGAGGAATTTATTACACAAAATGCAAAAAGTGATACTCCTTAGTTCCCTATTTATTGCATTACTGGTTCAAATAACATTGAGTCTGACAAGCAAGAAGGCCACAGAGTCCAAAACAGCTTATTCCAAGACTAATTAGTTAAACTTTCATTTTTCTGGACAACTCTTCCAAGGTTACCAATTACTTGCTTTAATAATGATTTTAGGAGAACCAAAATATGATATATATATATATATATATATATATATATATATATATATATATATATATATATATATATATATATATATATATACTTTATATATAAGCTTATATGCCTTTTAAAAAAGATTTAATTTTTTTAATACAATGCCTACGTTCTTTAGAGCCAAATGCCAATCTCTAGCAGCAGCTTCATTTACAGCAATGCTTTGGGATCTGCCAGGCTTCTACCTGGACAGCAGAAAGCACCTTGGACAGCTAGCCCACTCAGGGATAAGTCTTTTATGAAGGCTAAGGACTGCATTTAATAGTCATGAAGTGGCAGTCATGAAGTGGCTGGGGCTGCATCAGATGGTCCTTAGTGTTTGTGATATGCTACTTTTAAATTATAGTTTTTAGTTACGTTCCATTTCAAAAAAGAAGGAAATTTATATCTTCAGAATTTGGCTTGGGCTGAGGGTAAAAGGAGCCACCAAGTCTGGAAGCAATTACTGAGCCTTATCTGGAATATTCAGATACCGCTGAGCAATAATTTTTGTTTCATTTTTGCTAAATGCAGTATCTAATTTAGCATGATTACAAATACTGGTTTTGAAGAACCATATATGTGTGCAACAATACAGACATTTCTGGGTATTCCCCTAAAATAATGTTGCTATGCTGATAATCATATATATATTTAAGTTCCCTTATCTATTTGGTAGGTTCAAAATGGGTGAATTTATCACAAATTCTAACACACCCAATCAATTACAATTACACAGGTCCATTAAAGTTTTGCTTTAAAAAAGGAGAAAGGAGAGACCATGGATCTATTATTTTCCACCAAAGCACCAGTCACTGCCTAAAATCAAGATACTTTTGCCTGGATAAACCAATACCAAAGTCAACAAAAGTTAACAACCATATGATTGCAAGGAGTATAAATCCTTCCATTCCCCACCATCCAGTCAGAGCTGAAGAAGCTTATTGGATGAGAAGTGAAACATCTTCAAAATAAATAAATAAATAAAGTCCAGTTGCCTCCTGAAAAAGTCTCCCCAAGCTCTCTGTTTGGATAAAAAGTGTTCCGGTGATGGCAGAAAGGAGTTGGGGAGGGGGGAGCAGGAAAGAGGCACAGAGTTTGTGCCGAAAATGCAAGTTTCTAGGGTCTGTGATCTCGCAAGAGTTCAGGTACCCATTTTCTGCAAAAGAGGATGGGTGGCTGAACTCGCGCGATATTACGGCATCCAGGCGCTTCCATTGGCTCTCTGCTCCCTCAAAGGCAGAAACCGCGGCAGAGAAGACAGATCTTCCCAAGGTAATTGAATCTGGCACGGCAGGAAGTGAGGGGGAAGCATGAGGTATCTTAGTGGGCTGGGGAGACCTTGGGGGCCGGTTCCATCACTAGGCCCCCTGTGGCCTTCCCCACCCTGAGATACCTCATGCCCACTTAACGAACCGCGCATTCGTGTGGTGAAACTAGGGAGTGATCTTGTTCAAGGTACAAGATTCATCCCTAAAAGTACTCGAGTTACAAGTGGAATGGGCAGGCTCCATTACATTCAAAGACTGCCTGTAAAAACATTATCAAGATCAATACACTTCCCAAAAGAATGGAGAAATTAGTTTTAAAGCAGCGGTTCTCAACCTATGGGTCGCGACCCCATTTGGGGTCGATCGACCATTTTACAGGGGTCGCCAAACAATGCGATCCGCCATTTTCTCCCCTCAGGGGGCGCCGCCGCGCATGCGCACCGCGCATGGGGGCGCCGCCGCACATGTGCGGCACGTTCGTGTGACGGGGGTCGCCGTCGCCGTCACACAAACATTGAGAAACGCTGTTTTAAAGTAAAGAGAAACCACACAAATCTTCCCTGTATGACACACTTGGCTCTGAAAAAATCCTAAGAGTGTAAACAGAGCTAGAACACATTATTGCAAGGAGGTAAAGTACCAAGTCCAAAAGGTTACCAACACTGTCGTGAACATGTCAATAACATTGTTAGGAGGAAGAAAAAAGGCATTTCTTCCTCGTCTTCCAGAAAATGACCATTCAGTCTTAATGAGACAAAAGTGGAACTAAGATAGATAAAAAAAATTATAAAGTAATTGAATTGCCTCTGCCAACAGCAGAGAAAATGCAGGGTAGACGTGCAGATAGGTTTAAGAAGAATGTCTGAAAACTAAGGCAAATGAGACTAAGTGGCAAGATAGGTTCAAAATCTGAAAATAAATTATTTTGTCTGGATATATACGTTTAAATTTTCAAATACGAAGCTGCCAATTATTCAACAATATGTAACATTTTCCAAAGACAGTTTCTGTATCTAAAGACTGTAGAAATAGTAAAATAATGGCATTTCTGAAAAATGAATTTATTAAATGTATTTACTCTTGGCAATTCCAACCAAATTATCTTATTTATTTGTAAAATAAAATTCCATTTTCCTCAACAAACAAAGGTAAAGGTATCCCTGTCTAGGCAGACTCCAGGGGTGGTGCTCATCTCCGTTTCTTGGCTGAGGAAGCCAGCATTGTCTGAAGGCATTTCTGTGGTCATGTGGTCAGCATGACTATACGTCGAGGTATTTTTACGTATCTTGATAGTACCCTCTCCCGTGCAGTGACAATTGACATCGAGGTCAACTGTAGAATTGCCAAGGCAAGTTCTGCATTTGGCAGATTGCGGACTAACGTGTGGGACCGCCGTGGAATAAGTCTTGCTACCAAGCTTAAAGTTTACCAGGCAGCAGTGCTAACTACCCTGATGTATGCTAGTGAGACCTGGACAGTGTACAGGAGGCATGTCAGGCAACTGAACTACTTCCATGACTTGCCTTCGTAGAATTCTGAGGATCCAGTGGCAGGATAAGATACCAGACACAGATGTCCTCTCCAGAGCAGGCCTATCATCAGTTTAGACTCTGCTGATGAAAGCCCAGATGTGCTGGGCAGGCCATGTTGTAAGGATGCCAGATCATCGCATCCCTAAACAGCTCTTCTATGGTGAACTGTCTCAAGGAAAGCGATAGCACGGGGGACAAAAGAAGCGATACAAAGACACGTTGAAAGTTTCTCTTAAGTCCCTGGATATTAACACCATCTCTTGGGAACATCTGGCGCATGATCGACCGACATGGCGCACCTTGGTGTACCAGGGTTGCCAGATATATGAACACAGAAGGACAATCTTGGCACAAGAAAAGCGAGCACTCCGCAAAGCCAGAGTTGTAAATGCTGAATTAACAGTGTCTACATTTCTTTGTTCAGTATGTGGCAGAACATTCCGTGCTAACATCGGTCTTATTAGCCACCTACGGACACATCGTTGATGGCCCATAACCCACAAGATGTCAAGGTCTTCATCGAAAAATCGATGGACGAACAACAACGTCGAGGTGCATGGAACGCTGTTATCTTCCCACCGAAGTGGTGCCTATTTATAGCCACAAATTTTTAAGTATTGCTGTACCATCATGGCCATTAAGCTAAGTTAAAATGGGATATGTTTAATTTTGACAAGCATGTTGTGTGAATCCACCCAGTTGATTTATTCAATGACCGAGGCAAGCAAACTGTCCCTGTATAACAGAAGTAACCACTTCAGGACTCTGGTCTTCTCAAGTACCAATTGGAATACTAACTGCTGAGGTACATGAAAAGGAAGACTGTGCGTTTGTATTAAGACCTCAAAAGGCATGGCACTTGTTAAATGGTAAGGCAAGATAGGTCCTTGATCTGCTTCTGCAATCTTCTCATTCAAAATTAACTTGTTCTGGAAGCTGCATGATTAGCCTAAGATCTTCCAAGAAAAATATTGCTCTTAAAAATGTAACGCCAGCCTTAAATGTGCAAATGTCTGCTCAGGTATCAAACACTATGAAGGCTCAAATAGCATGACCATCTTTCCTATCAAAGAAATCATAACATTGCACAAAAAACTAGGGGTTTTTTTGTAATGAGACTTTTCCTTCATGCTCAGCAAAGCTTCTTACCTTCCTTAAAAATAATTGGTTTTTGTCAAAATCGGCCTGAGCAAACATTCGTTGTATTCATTGCTCTGGCAATATTGATAAGAGTAATGAAAGCAAATAAAAGAATCTGCATTAGAAGTCTTCCTTTAACATTTAAAATCTAGCCCCCAATATTAATTGGGGGGAAAACATAATTTTTGCCTTTTTATAAGCTATTTGTTCCACTTAGCCAATGCAATAATTCAAAGAAAAGAATACCTTTCTGTCCTAGAGCTAAAGAAAAAGATCTCAAGAGAAATACAATAGGTTGGTTATAAAGCAAATGACTGCATTCTTATGGAATTATTAATAGATTTTAAATTTTGCAATGTATTTCTCAAAAGAAGCAATATCCTGAAAGCAACTTAACTCAATCTTCCCCCATTTAACATCAATACAAGAAACCAAACATTCATTCACTTTCTCAAAAAACAAACAAACAAACAAAAAAAAAAACCCAAAACTTTCCCACGGCTTCTGTAAAGGCTTAAGTAACTTTCTAAAGCACATTCATTTACTTCACTACAACATGGCCAGAGCAAGAAGTTATTTTTTTTCCAATAATTATAAGATAGGTACAGACAATCAACGATCCTGATATTTTGGTGACGGTCATTTCTGAAGCAGATGGGATACTCTTGCTTTCCTCCCAAAGCCACTTTTGGGAAGAGCTCAACTCTGAACCAAACACTGAAGTGCAAAATGCTCCCGTGCAAAATTCCAGCCCTATTTTGGGATGCTTTGTGCTCGCCCCTTCTTCCCACGGTTACCCTTTTCAGAGAGTCATCACTTCATGCCCTCGGACAGATGAATTATTTAAAATGAAGGTGGTGTGGAATTCACCTCAGCACTTAAAAAAAAATAAAAATCCTCCGGCTTCTTAAAAGCCCTAGAGTTCTTGGTGTGAGGTTTGCTGGCTTGTTTCCAGTGTTCGAATATTTAAGGGGCTCCTACAAAGATGAAGGGGGGGGGAGTCAAACTATTTTCCAAAGCACCAAAAGGTAAGACGAGAAACAATGGATGGAAAGCAACCTAGAACTAAGGAGAAACTTTCTAACCGTGAGAAGAATTAATCAATGGAACGGCTTGCTTCCACTGGACTGGAGGCTTTCGAGAAGAGATCGCGCAATTGATCTGGAATGGTCGAGCAGGGGGTTGGACTAGAAGACCTCTAAGGTCCCTTCCAACTCTGTTATTCTATGTTCTGTGCTTGCAGCCGTTTCGTTGTCCATCGAGGCAACCTCCTCACCTTCTCAGAAACCGACAGTCAGAATGGGGGGGGGCGACATTCAGGAAGCCACTTCATACGCTCGGACTTAGATGATTTTTTTTAAAATGGAGGGGGGAACTGACCCCAACACTCAGGAAGCCAACTTTAAGCCGCTCAGCCGGTCCTCTGCTCCCCTCCCCGGGTGGGGCCTAAGCAACTTCTCCACGAGCGGACCCGCTAAGGCGGCCTGGCCCCGGAGTCCTTCGTCTATGGGGAGGGGAGGCTTTCTCCTTCGTCTCCCCACTCTCTCCCGCCCGGCCGCCCCTTCAGCCTCCCCGCCCGGCCTTTCGCTAGCGCCCGAGCCTCGCGGGCTTACCTGGGAGGCCTCTGGGAGCGACCGGCCCCGCCAGCGCAAGGAAACCCGAAGCGGCCTGGTGCGGAGTGCGGTGGCCGCCGCGCGGTCACCGGAGAAGCTCGGTAGAGCCCTCAGCAGCGCCATATTGGGGGAAGGAGGGATGGCGGGAAGGCCGCGGAGCGGAAGGGGCGGCCGGCGCCGGAAGTGAGGCTGGGCGCGCGCGGGGGGGAGAGAGAAAGAGAGTGTAACGGAACAATAGAGTGGGAAGGGCCCTTGGAGGTCTGAGAGGGAGGGGGGGTTATGAGTGCGAGTTGGGTTTGTGGAGCTGGAGACGGTTGTGCGTCGCCTCCCACACTGCGAGGCGTGATGGTGCGGCTTGCGGTTTTGTCCAGCACACGTGGAGGCTTCCCAGCCTGACTGGACGGAGATTTTAGGTCAGTGTTTCTCAACCTTGACAATTTTAAGGCATGTGGACTTCAACTCCCAGAATTCCACAGCCAGCAATGCTGGCTGTGGAATTTTGGGAGTTGAAGTCCACATGCCTTAAAATTGTCAAGGTTGAGAAACACAGTTTTAGGTGGATAAACTGACATGTGGAGGCCAAGGATTGCCTCCTCCTCGAGTTGGCCCTTGTTTATTTGCTTATCATTATTTGTTTATTTGAGGGGTGGGGAACGGTGGCTCTTCTGATTTGTGGGCTTCAACTCCTGGCTCGGGAATTCTGGGAGTTGAAGTCCACAAATCATAAAAGGGCCACGTTCCCCACCTCTGGGTTATTTGAGCTTATTCCGAGCAGAAGCTGCGCCCATGGTTTTTTAGGTACCCAGACATTCGATTTATAGGGCCACCTGGCTCACTTTTATGGGACTCCAGGTGGCTCTATAATATCGCTGTTTTATATTACTCAGCAGGATCTAGCATGCTGCAGGATGGATGTTGCAGTTCACAGAAGTCGGCGACAAGAAATGGGCTGTTCTCTTCTTGCAGAATCACAGAATACAGCTAGCCCTCAGCTTACAACAGTTCATTTAGTGACCAAAGTTACAGCGGTACTGGAAAAAGGGACATATGACCATTCCATTGCAGCTTCTCCACGGTCCACGTGATCAAAATTCAGATGCTCGGCAGCTGATTCATATTTATGATGGTTACGGTGTCCTGGGGTCATGCAATCACTTTTTGCGACCTCCTGACAAGCAAAGTCAATGGGGACGCCAGGTTCACTTAACAACCGCGCTACTAATTTAACCACTGCGGTGATTACTGTGGCAAGACAGGCTGTAAAATGGGGCAAAATTCACTTAACAAATGTGTCACTTAGCAACAGAAATTTTGGGCTCAATTATGGCCATAAGCCGAGGACTACCTGCATTCCATGCATCGTGTCTTGTGTTCTAAAGGCCTGGAAAAGATCCTAATGTTGTAGGACAAGCCAGATCCTTGGAAGTGCCACCTGAGCACTCTTGTTGGCAGGAAATTCCCTTCAATTATACCCACACATTTATTAACAAATATTTATTAGAAAGTAATAATATTCATTTACTATATCAATAAATATGTTCCTTGGAATATTATTCCTTTGGAATTAATATGTGACCCGACCACACCTTACTGCATTGTAGTGCTTTTCATATACCGCTGGTCAAAAGAATTTACAAGTTCCCCTTTTTGTCAGAACTGGATATAAAATCAGTGCGAACAATAGTTGGCCAGAATCACTGCATGTGTGAGATTTGTGTGCAATTATTCCCCAATAATCAGGATGCCATTGGTGGACCCAGCTGCACAGTTGAAATTGATGAGCCTGTTCATTCAGCAAAAATAAAATGTGGAAAGACTGTGTAGGTAGGAAACAGGATTGTTGGAGGTGTCTGTCATGAGACAGGACACTGCTTCATGCCTACTATGGACGATTAATCTGCCATCAACACTGGCAAATATAATTATATCATCTGTTTTACCTGGCTGTACAATTATAACAGATTGTTGGCATGGTTACGTGAATTGGAAAATATTCCTAATAATCACAATCTGTCAGTCATCAGGAAGAATTTGGAGATCCTGTGCATTACACAAACATGCACAGTGACAATTTCCTCTGTGATTTTAGATACTGACATCATAATCATAACAAGGATACCTTCAAATGCATTGTAATTCTGCATTATGAATTATTCATTGCTAAAATTTTGCAAAATTTCCCAGTGAATTTATCTGCTGTCCAACTAAAATCTTTTAGATAAAATACTTTATCACTAATGACTGGCAAAAAAGAAACAAAGAGCCTCGGAGTGACCAAGAATAGAAAGTTATGCTGGGGATCTACAGTACTGAAATATTAGAATTAATTGACTGTCTCCTGAATTAGTCATGCTTTCCATGGACTCACTGAGATAAATGGATATAAAAACACTTTAAAAATAAAGAGTTATGAATTAAATATATAAATTGAATATACATAAATTGCTATTTTATTGATCAGGCACCTGAAGACATTTTTTATTCTTAAGAGTTAAATGTACAATGTTGGAGTCTTATGTACAACAACTTATAAATAAGACTTAAAAGATGAGGAGGGGGGTTTCTATACAAACACCAGGAATTTAGGGTGGAGGAAACAGCAAAAGTTTTGAAGAATGAAATAAATTCAATGATGAAAATCCTTTCTAGCAATCATAATAGTGCTCATTCATCCTGCTGAACCTTTTGTTCATTTTTTTGGGCTGAGGTGCACATTTAAAAGCAGTAAAGCTGTAATAAAATTGAAGTAAGGATATGAACTTAGGGATATGGTTATTAAGCAGAACATCTCATGTCTGTACCACTTAATGGCAGTACTTCTGTAGACCCATTGGCAATCATTACAATAATTCTGCCTTGTCATCTTTATGTCCTGCTGCATTCATTTCTGCTTCAACTCCCCCACCCACTTGCCTTCCACACACACACACACACACACACACACACACACACACACACACACCAGGTCTCTGCCCTATTGGCTGTCTTGTGCTCTACCACCATTGCCATCCCCAGCTAACCTTCTGTTTTCTGTTCCTGCTGCCTTTTCCAAGAAAAGTTTCCGGACTCTGGAAGCCTCACTGCACAGACAGCACAAGAAGAAGACAGCGAAGGTCAGCTGCGTGTAGCAGAGACAGCAGAGTGCAGGGCATCCAAAAGGACAGAGATGGGGAGAGTCAAAGACACCCTCCAGTTATAAATGCAGGCAAGCTGTCAAGCATCTGAATTTTATCACATGACTAAAACATGAAGAACAATTGCAAGAATTGGTTATGTCTAGCCTAGTGAAAAGAAGGACTAGGGGAGATGTGATAGCAGTGTTCCAATATTTGAAGGGCTACTACAAAAATAAGGGAGGGGGGTTCAACTTATTTTCCAAAGCACCAGAAGGCAAGACAAGAAACAATGGATGGAAATTAATCAAGGAGGGAAGCAACCTAGAACTAAGGAGAAATTTCCTGACAGTGAGAACAATCAACCAGGGAACAACTTTGCCTTCAGAAGTTCACTGGAAGTTTTTCAGAAGAGACTGGACAGCCATTTGTCTGAAATGGTCTAGGGTCTCCTGCTTGATAAGAGGGTTGGACTAGAAGATCTCCAAGGTCCCTTCCAGCTCTGTTATTCTGATCATGGGGCCACTACAACAGCTGTAGCTTTGAAGACCCAACCTAAGTACCATTTGTTCAGTGCCGTTATAACTTCTAACAGTCACTTCATTAAATGAGGACTATCTGTAGTTTTTTCCTGAAGTCAAATTCAAAACTGCATCTTTATTCAATATATGTATATTCAAGATGGAAGGATGGCTATTTTGATCATATATACAGGTTGTGAAGTGTTTTCCGTACTTTCTATGAAATCCTGAAAAATGGACTAATTTTATGGCTTATGGTACAAAACAAAATTGAACATGATGAAATTGTCTATGTTGTTCTAAAGTACAAGTCAGGCCCCAAGCATTAATCTAATGTGTTGGCATTGTTTCCATCACTCTGTTAAGGTCCTTGGCTTTATAAATTGAGCCCCAGTCTAATCGGACAACAACCCCAAAAGGGGGGCAAATCTAGAACATCTGGGCCGATTAGCATCTTTTCTTTTACATATCATTTTGTATATAAGAATTAATTGGGCTTTATTCATTTTGATTCTAATATCAAAGTCCTTAGCCACTTTTATGTTATATAAGCATAATTTAAATCACTAGGTAAAAAAAATTAAAGTTTATTTTCTTGTGGCTTTTAAATAAAAAAGCAGTTAATTTTGGGAAAGCAATTTTTAACCGCACAATTCAACTTATTTTTCTAAAACTTAAGATACTTAAGTATAAAATATTAAATGAAAACAATATATTTAAAATCAGAAAATAGCAATGAAATTAATATAAACAGGAATGGAAAGAGAAAAAAATTGTAAAACTAAGTGGAAAAAGATAGGTTTGTTTCTTCTAAAAGCTAGGAAAATTAGGATACATTTGGGCTGATCCAACGATCTATATTCTATGATATTAGGATGTTTCTGTATAAAACAGAAAATTAGATACTATGGTGTTATATGCTGCACTATAAACCTTTACTAAACTTGCAACTATTCATTTAGTGACCATTAAAAGTTACAACAGCACTGAAAAAAGTGACTTACCACCGGCCTTTGCATTTATGACCTTCGCAGCATCCCCCAGTTAGATGATCCAAATTCAAGCACTTGGCAACCATTGCAAGCTTCCGGTGACTGCCACCGGTGTCTTTCCCAGCTGGCTTCAGACAAGGAAACTCAGTGGAGGAAGGTGGATTCGCTTAACGATTACACGATTCACTGAACTGCAGCGTTTTTGCTTAATTGTGGCAAAAAGGTCGTAAAGTCGGTTACACGTCACCACCGCCCTGCTTACCAACAGAATTCAGGTCCCCATTGTGGAAATAAAGTCAAGGACTACTTGCGTGCGATTGCAAAGGCGTCCTCGCCATTCAGACATTATGTTCTATTTTAGCCTCCGGTGCAAATGCAACCCTCGCGCTTTGCAACCAGCATCCCTGGCTTCTTCGCTTGAAGACGCTCCCTTGCGGCTTATGCACGGAGGCGTAAGAGAAGGGACCACAGCGTCGCCTCGGAGGGCGCGGCACCAAAGGACCCGCAAGACCAATTTCCCCACGCGTCGTAGTAGCAGTAGTAGTAATAATAATAATATAACCCGCTCCTTTAACTGCTTTCGCGCAAAGGATTCTGGGAAATGTATTTTGAGCCGGGCGCGGGGGAAATCTCCATCGGCGCCAACTCTCTTCCCACTCAGCGAGACCCAGCAGCCAATGGACGCACTCCGGGGAGGCCCGCGGCACTTCCGCGCAGGGAAGCCGGCGCACAGCAGCCAGCTCCTCGCGTCTTCCGCGCAATTCCCGCCTCAGCCAGAAAGGGCGGGATTAGAGAGAGAGAGAGAGAGAGCGCGCGCGCGCGCGCTAGTGGGCAAGAGTGGGCGGGCACCGGCCCCGCCCCCGAGCGCCGAGTGGCGGCGTGGCGCCGAGCGGCAGACGCGGCGGCCAACGGGAGCGCCCGAGCTCGTTCACGTCACTGGTCGGCCCGCGGGCCCGCGGCTGAGGTAAAGCGGAGCGCGTGGCGGGGCGCCGTGGCTGCCTCGGCGGCGCATGGAGGCGATGCCGTGCCGCGACCAGCGCGTGGGCTCGGCGGGGGTTTCGCCGGCGGCGGAGCCCGGGATGCAGGCGGGCGGCGAGGGCGGGCCGCGGCAGCTGCGCTTCGCCGACCCCGGCAGCGGCGACAGTCTCAGCCCGGATAGCAGCAGCGGCGGCGGCGGCGGCGAGGGCAGCCGCTGCTGCTGCGGCGGCGGGAATGGCTGCTGCGCGGGCGACGGCGGCGCCGAGACGACGACGACGACGCTTCCCGACTGGCCGGGGTCGGCGGCGGCCCAGCTCAAACTGCTGCCCATGAACGACCAGATCCGGGAGCTGCAGACCATCATCCGGGACAAGTAAGCGCAGGGCGCCGGCCGCCCTCTGAGCGCGTGCAGAGCGCCCGCGCGGGCGTTGCAAGCAAGCAAGCCAGCGGGGTGCCGGGCAGGTGGGCAGCCTCGCCCACGCGGGGAGGGGGGAGCGTCGCCGCCCGAGGGAGCCAGCAGACCGGCCGGGAGGGGAGCCGGAGGGCGCTGCGGGCTGCAGAGAACCTCATTTAGGTCAGGGGTAGGCAACCTCGGCTCTTTTATGACTCGGGAATTCTGGGAGTTGAAGTCCATGAGCCCTACAAGAGCCGAGGTTGCCTACCCCGCTATAGATCAGTGTTTCCCAAACTTGACCATTTTAAGGCATGAGGACTTCAATTCCCAGAATTCCACAGCCAGCAACGCTGGCTGTGGAATTCTGGGAGTTGAAGTCCACATGCCTTAAAATGGTCAAGTTTGGGAAACACTGCTGTAGATCAATCCAACAATGCACAATGCCGCATGCGGTTCAAATGCAGACATTCAGCACAATGTGGTCAATTTACAGCAACATGATGCACCTAGGACAGTGTTTCCCAAACTTGACAATTTTAAGGCATGAGGACTTCAATTGAAGTTGAAGTCCACATGCCTTAAAATTGTCAAGTTTGGGAAACACTGCTATAGATCAACCCAAGGCGGGGAACATGCCTGATAAGAACAGGGAGTGCTCCACTTACGACCACAACTGAGCCCCAAATGTCTGTTGCTAGGTGAGACGTTGGCTAAGTGAGTTTTGCCCCCTTTTGCGACTTTTCTTGCCACAATGGTGACGTGACTCGCTGCAGTGCTTCAGTTAGCCACATGGTTGCTAAGTAAATCCGGCTCTCCCATTGACTTTGCTTGTCTGAAGGTGGCAAAAGGGGATCCCAGGACCCCAAGACATTGCAACCGACATAAGTATGAGTCCGTTGCCAATAATCTGAATTTTTATCAGGTGGCCCTGGGGATGCTGCAGTGGTGGTAAGGTGAAGAATGGCCACGTGTTCACTTTTTCAGTGCCCTGGTCACTTCGAATAGTCACTAAATGTGTACCTGTGGTTCTGCCTCCTATTTCCCTTACCGCAGCAACTCTGGGAGGTGGGTTTTTCATTGCTTTAATATAAAGAAAGTAACAAAAAATGTTAGGAAAAAAATGTTACACTCGCCTTTAAAAAAAAGCTAATTTAAGATAAAGCACTACAGCTGACTAGGGGAATAATATTGATCAATTTTTTAAAATTTATGTTTTGAGAAAGAGCCAATCATAAGCACGGAGGGGTCTTTATAGGTAAGCACGTTGATGTAAAAATGTCGGCCAGGCAATGCTTCAGCCGGGTAAACGAGTACAAGTAGGTGGATTCTTGGTTTTCGGTCTTCTGAAATACAGGCAAGTTACTCTTGTTGTGTAATAATTCTTGAGGTAATATTTATCGGAAATGCATGAGAGATGGGTGAGTCATCCATCCAGATTTTACACAGTTTAGAAGAGTATTAAAGTACAGACACACCAGATGATCCTGGCCCAGGGCATCTTCTATTCTGTAAAGACGTGGGCCTGGGTGGGGGCAAGTATTGATGTCTTTGAACCATCAAAGGAGTGTAGTGAAGCCTGTTCTGAAAGGCAGGCAGGCAGGCAGGCAGGCATTCAGGGCAGGGCTTTCAGTTCAAGTCTGCGTCAAAGTTCAGAGAGTGTGCCCGTGCAAGTCTGCCTCTGCTGTCTCACTGTTCTTGGCTTGCACTCAGATCTGGTTTTGTCGTGGTACTGTAAGATGTGATGAGTCCAGCTGTCTTTTATTAAAAACATTTTCCTTTGTACGTAGATGCAAAAGAGCTTTTTGGCTAGGCAGACTTTTGAGATGAAATGAATGTTCTTGCAATAACCTTGTTTAATGGAGACTGATGGATTTCACACATTGCACAGACCTGTATGCAGTTAGTTTGCAGCTGAGCACAGGGTTGCATAATGTGAGAAAGACCAATGGTTTGTCAGCATATTTTTAAAGTGACAGAAAAATGTATTGAATGCATTTATTATTAATAAAACTTAGGGGTTTTTTCCTGGGCCCACCCATTTAGCTGGGGACCCTCATGCCACTGAAAGACTTAAGTGTGGCCTTTATGCAAGAAAGCTTTAGCACTCCACCCCTGAGTTAGCATTACTGAACTCAACCACTGTGCTTATAAAGCTATATGTTTTGACCTAAAGGATAGAATAAAACTCGCTGTGATTTACTTAGTGATCGTTGTATACAAAATCATTTTACTGTAGTGCATTAACTCAGTTATTATAGGATTAGTGAAGTTGGAAGCAAAAGAACCCATACTGTAGCTGCAATATGAAGCCAGAATTTTGTGTTCTGAGAATAATAACTTCAAAATATATTTTCCTTTTTGCTTGTAGGTCACTAAGTAAACAACAAACTAGCAAAGTATATGACTTCACCTCAGGCTTCTTGCCAGCTCTAGTAGTTAAAGCAGATAGAGACATTCGGGTTCATTATTTGTTGGTACACATAAACCAGCTTCTCAAATTTGTTCTTTTTCTAGCCAGTCACAAAATTTGTTCAGAAACAAGCTATTTTTCATTCATATGTAACAAGGAAATCGAAGGTAGATTGTCCACATTTATTATCACACTTGCTGGCAGGAGGAATGGAACAGATTCCTGGGTAATGAGAATTATATATCCAATATTATGCTATAACAGCCACACATCTAATGTGGATGCTTCACTAAGTATCAAGGGGCTCATTTGAACAAAGGGCCAACAATAACTAACTTTATAAATAGCTAATGTAGTCTGAGGATCTCAGTCTTAGAATTTTGCTGCTTATTCTTACCTATTCTGATTTTGGTTTTATAATTAATGTGATAATTACATTGCTTCACAATTTGTTGAAATCTATTCCAATGATATTATGGCTTTTAAATATACTATGTTATGTAAATGTTAGGATTGCATGGTTTTCATTGATCAAGCAATTTTTAACAAACAAATCACAGTGAATGTAGATATTATAGACATTGGTACTGTCTTACATGCACCTTTGTTCTAGAATTATTGAACCTGTAAAATGGATCTTGCTTTAAGGTAATGTTTCCTTTTTATTAAGCTGATTTGGGAAATACAGTATATCCAAGCTTATACAGCAATTCTACATGTTCTCATTTAGTCCTCTGGCAAAAGATGGAAATACGTTCTACTCTAGATGAGATTGCAAATTGTCTCAAATATTTTTCTGAATGTATACATTTAAAAATCAAGGACAGCAGAAAGGATAGGGCAGTGAAGGTTGAAAATTGGTTTCCTTAATTTTTTCTTAGCTTGGAGGGGGACTTAGAAATTTTCTAGTGCCACACCTACCCCAAATAAATCAATACTTTCTGCTTTATAAAATAAAATCTTTTCAGTAGAAATGAATAATAAAACCTAAGGACATATTTTAAATGTAGAGGATGGCCTTACTTGAGTTTGCTTAATTCCTGAAATCTGGATTTTATTGTTTAAATGACCATTTCTTCCTTGAAAAGAAAATCAAGCTGCAGATTTGTGAGTATCAAGAAATGAATAAAGCGATCACTAGAAGCCAACGGGCTAGTTAAAAAAAAAAACACCTTGCCAGACAAACCTTATTACCTTCTTCGATAAAATAACTAAATTAGTGGATCAGGGAAATACTGTGGATATAGTTTACTTGCATTTCAGTAAGGCATTTGATAAGTCAATCACAGCCCACTTTTTGGAAAGATAGAAAAAAATGGGATAGACAGCACCACCATCAGATGGCTTCACAGTTGGCTGACCAACTGAACTCGGTGGGTACTCCTTAATAGAACTATATCTACATGGAGGGAAGCATGCAGTGGGGTACTCAAGGTTCTGTCTAGGGCCCAGTACTTCATAAATCATCTAGATGAGGGGATAGAAGGGGAACTCATCAAATTTGCAAATGACAACAAGCTGGGAGGAATAACCAACAGTTTAGAAAATAGACTCAGGATACAGAGGGATTTGATAGACTTCAACACTGGTCCCTATCCAACAAAATGCAGTTCAGTGGTGAGAAAAGTAAGGAATTGAATTGAATTGAATTTCTATACTGCACCAGTGAGGACACACTTGGAATACTGTGTCCAGTTCTGATTCCTACAATACAGAAAAGATTCTGAGATTCTAGAAAGAGTGCAGCAAAGAGCAACAAAAATCGTAAGTGGTCTAGAGGCTAAATCATATGATGAATGGTTGAGGGAATTAGGTATGCTTAACAGGGAGAAGTCACTTTTGACACAGTATAACATCAGTCCTAAAAGAACAGCTACAAATTTGGATTTGACTTCTAGGTTACAGTAATGTTGTTTCTGGTTCTTAATTGTTTAGGGTCATATTCACAGCATTCAGCAAAACAGATGATTAAGATTGCCAAAACTGATTCTTCCAACGTACAGAAAAATATTTGCTGGCTCAGATCTGAAGTGTACTTGGGAAAGAATTACATTAGGATCAATGGCTTGTTTCTATTCCCTTATGTAGGTAAGGAGTTTCTACCCATTTCTTGCACTGATGGTATCTTTCAGTCAAAATAACATGCAATAATGATAAACAGTAGAGGAATATAAAAATGAAAGCACACATGTAGGATACAGTAAAAGCTTTGAAATGAGATCATCACTTGCTCCTGAACGATGAAACAACATTTCAGGACCTATGAGAAAATTTTAAGTATGAGATCTACAATGAACTCACATCTGTAATGACAAATTACAGCCTATTGCTTCAAATAATCTCATGTGTCTTCAATGAAATGCTATGAAAATAAATGCCATTTTACTATTAAAGATTTGAAAAATCATAAAGGTTACACCACAAATGTCTTTGCTTCCCATCTTGTAACAGTTCACTGATTTATTTCAGTGTTAATCTCATAATGTGTAATTATGTACTTCCTGTGTAATGGAAGCATTAGCTTTTTTAATTCAAAGCATTTTGAGTTTCATTGTTTATAAGCTTCCAG